CTTACCTTAGCTAAAGGTTTAAGGAACAAAGAAATCTCTCAGCTCATCTGATGAAACCCAACTTCCTTTTGAGACTGGCATTAAGTGTTGGGTCTCTAGAAGATGGCTCAGTTCTAAATGGAGAAAACATGCCCCTGAGCTCTTGCTGCAGGGTGGGTTGGAGTATAGCTTAAAATTCAAGTAATTAAAAAGCTACCCCTTCTTAACTAGTTTGGAATGTGAGCTTAACTCTTTTTTACATTTTAAATTGATAATTTCATTATGCATATAATGTCTTTTGATCAAATCTAGCCTTCATTCTCCCTCCAAAGCCTACCCTTCCCCCATTTCCCTCCCATTTTCATGTGCTCTTTTTTTCTTTTTCTTTTCCTCTTCTCTGTCTCTTTCCGTCTCTCTCTCTCTCTCTCTGTTTCCATCTCACTCTCTCTTTCTTCCTCTCTTCCTTTCATTCTTAAACACACTGAGTTTCCTTTTGCTGCCTCTGTATGCATGGATTTAGGGACACCTAAGATGTTTAGGACCACTGCCTGTCAGGGACTGCATCCTTAATCTTGTTCCCCCAGCAGCCTCAGTTGACAGGAGCTTTTTAGCAGTGGGTGGGGCTTTACAAGCCCCTCCCTATTCATGCTGGGATTTGGCTGGCTTGTTTTGCAGGTCTTGTGCATGCAGCCACAGCCTCTGTGAGTTCATGCAGGCAATGGTTCTGTCAGCAATCTTTCTGCCCCCTCCTCTGCAGCGATCCCTGGGACTTGGCCTGGGGTGTGATAGAGATGTCACATGTAAAGCTGGCCAGTTTTTGTTTGTTCTGAATTAAATTTGAAAGCTTACTGGTATGATTTTTATTGGCTAAACTAGAAATGATACCTGACAACTTCTCTTAACCATCTCATTGCTGTCAGATAGAATCTCTTAAGGTGTATTTTTTGACACATAATTTATAATTTTTTTTTCTTAATTTTTATTTTATGTGCATTAGTGTTTTGCCATGGGTTTTGAGTCCCCTGGAACTGGCGTTACATACAGTTTTGAGCTGCCATGTGGGTGCTGGGAACTGAACTCAGGTCCTCTGGAAGAGCATTCAGTGTTCTTAACCACTGAGCTATCTCTCCAGCCCCTCATAATTTATAATTTTAACAAGTAATTGATTAACGTTTATTTGCTAGTTCTACCATTCCTAAACAAAAAGTCTACTAAATTAGCTATCATGAGGCACATTTTGCAACTAATATATAAAAACATCTGGTCATGGTGGTGCATACCTATAATCCCACCACCCAGGAAGATAACACACGAAGATTGTGGGTTCAAGACCAGTCTCAAAGGAAACCGCCTTGGAACAATACAGAAAAATTAGCTAACATGAAACAAAATACATAAAAAAAAACCCCCAGGCTTTTACCAGAAGTTACATTCTTATTAGATATTTTATGAAAGCATCCATGTGCAGATGTGTGTGTGTGTGTCTTGTGAATGTGTGTATGTGTGCATGAGAGAGAGAGAAAGAGAGAGAGAGAGAGACAGACAGACAGACAGATTGATTACTAGTGCCCTTAGATTCCTCTGTTAGTCACAGGCAGTTGTGAGCTGCCCAACTAGGGTGTTGGAAGTGGGTCCTCTGTAAGAGGAGTAGGAACTCTTAACTGCCAGGTCATCTTTCTAGCCCCAAGATAATGGTTTTGAAAGCAAATTTACTTCTAAATTCTTTACCTGGTAGTATCTAGACCCAATTTTGTACGTAAATAGGTATTTCAAATTAAAATGATCCTAGTGTTTCCCATCTGCAGATTAGTTACTGAGGTCTATTTTGGCTTCAACGTTGTGCTGAATTACTTACATCACTTTTGTAAAGGTCATTTGCTGAATTAGTTCTCTGATATTTTGCCAGTGATCCACTCTGAGTGCAGCACAGACTTATTTTCTAACTCTATACTGATATACTTTACTAACAGGCCATATTGGGGTGTGTGTGCTATGAGATCCTGTCTTCTGCTCATGACAGAGATGTTTCACTGATCAGTTCATAGAAGCTTGTGTTTACCTGCATATGACCTACAGAAGATCAAGCCACTCAGAGTTTTAGAATGTATAAATAGGGGAGACACTAACTGGGGCTCACTCCTAGTGAGGCGATGCTGGGAATTGATGGCTCCTGATGGGAGAGAGAGAGTAATTTTTCTTTGGGAGTGTGGCCATTGGTAGGTTGCCCATGTTCCAGGGGATGGCCCCACACTCATACACATATAGGCAGCAGTCATTGGGCTCAGTGGGTTATTAAAAAGTTAAAAATAGAACTTATATACAACCCAGCTGTGCTATTCCTGGGAATATGCCTCAAAGATTGTTTAGTGTACCCTAGAGGTACTTGCTTAACGGTTTATTGCTGTTCTTTTCACCATAGCGAGTATGTAAATTGTGGACATGAGAGTGGAGAGAGAGTCTAAAACTATGTAGGTAGGGACCATGAAAGGGGGACAGGAAATGCCGAGAAGGGGCAGAGGGCAAAAGGTCACATGGGGCATTGTCTTAGTTAGGGTTTCCATTGCTGTGATAAAGCACCATCACCAAAAGCAACTCGGGGTAGAAAAGGGTATAATTTCCAACTCTCAGTTCACACTCCTTTACTAAGCAGAGTCGGCAGGTTCTCAAGGCAGGAACTGAAGGAGAGGCCATGGAGGAACACTGCTGACTAGTTTGCCCCTTATGGCTTGCTCAGCCTGCTTTCTTATCCACCCAGGACCACCTGCTCAGAGACGACACCACCCACAACTGACTAGGCTCTCCCACATCAATCATTTGTTAATCAAATGCCTCACGTGCTTTCTTACAGGCCATCATTTTTTTTTTTTTTTTTTTTT